ACACAAAAACTCTAGACGATGGCACATATGGTACGATATGTTGTGTTAAAAAAAATTCACTTCTCAAATCCAATATCTAGTTATTGATATGGCCAAAACCAGGATGCGCAGTGCACGTCCGCGATTGTCAGCCGGACGACAGATATTTTTTCATAATCAATTTTTTTATCATAAAAATTATAATTTAATTTAATAATTAGTTTATGTTATAAAATAAAATTACAACAAATAAAAATTGTTGTTATAAATTTATAACAAATAAAAAATAATAATTTCTAACTACTTTTTATAATTTTATAGTTTATTTATTTTTATAATTTTTATAAAAAATATAATTATTATAATTTTATATTTTATAGTGTTTTATAATTTTTATAATCTATTTATTTTTATTTTTTATAATTTTTAATTAGTTTTTACAAGTAAAAATTTATAATTTATAATTTGTTATAAAAATTTATAATTTCTTTTTTATAATCATTTCTTTTATAATTTTATAACTATAACTTTCAATTTATATAATAAAAAAAATTTGATTATTAAAAAAAAATTACCGTCCAACCAGTGATCGCGGACGTGCACGGCCGCGTCCTCCCTGTGATTGCGGCCGGAACTGTGCACGTTCGGACGACGACATTTTTTTTTTTAACTATTCAGAAAAAATATCAGGAGCAAAACCATAGTTTTTAAATCTGACCCGGTAATCGACTCGGGCAGGTATCTGGGTCATCGGGTCAATTGTTGAACCAGATAATTAATTTTAAAATTTTTAAAATTATATATAGAGTATTTTTGTCTTATAAATATACATAAAAATAACAAAATTAAATGTTTTATATATAAAATTTGCACTTAAAAGTATTGATAATATGTATCATGATAATATTTACCATATAAACATATACAGGTCAGCTGGGTTGACCCAGCCGGGTCAATGTCATGGGTCGGCTTAGTCAAGGCCGAGTTGGCTGGGTTTTGACCGGGTTGTTTGTTGCTCGGTCCAAATAGCTCACTGGATCGGTTTTGGCTCAGAGTCAACTGGTCGGGACAGTCCGGGTCAAAAAATTATTAGCAAAATTGTTCAAAGGAAGACGATAAGTAGTAAAAAGAGGGCGATCTAAATTCTAATTGCCAAATACCAGCGGTACGACGTCGTGTATTTCGTTGTGCATCGACCTAATCTACACGTCACTGCAATAAACTGTCACTTTCATAGTTAGCTCAACTAACTAGTCATCAATCACCTCACCTTGAACCCTCCATTTAGGGGTAATTTATTTAAAAAAAAATATAGAAAT